GTTTATCTGCACTTACCGAGCTAATGAAGATGGATATGTACAGTGTGCTATGTGGGGAATTTTACCCGGACAGTAATTGAATACCAACTGTCAAGGGTTCTTTTACGTGCACGCTAATGTCTATATAGGATCTCGGTACTTCATCCCGTCTGAACAACAAGACACTGTTCCTTGCCAGACCCTGACAAGGGGAAACAACGCCAAAATATACCGGGAAACTGTCTCGGCCATCATCGGTATCTAACCCTGGAGGTGTAGGTTAGTAAGCCAGCCACTTACCCACCGCTTGGAACACAATGTTTTCTTTTACTCATGTAACACTTGACTAAATCATTAAAACGGCTACACTGTGGTTGAAAATAATTAGTTGCCACCCCACCTGTAACTCGACGTGTACCATTGGGTTAAAGATACATTATGGGAGATTAGATAAAGAGCTGGCAGTTCTCACTATAATAAACTAGATAATGTAAAGAGAATTTGCTGAAAATTTCAGTCAAATTGATCCACTCTGAACCGAGATTTTAGCGATAGAATTTTCGGCCTAGCCTCGATCATCATTACTAAAGTCGGTACGATAAAAAAGACATAGTCTCGATTATCCATTTTATGATGAAATCAAGAATGAAAGTGGAGCAGCAAATGGTATCCTAATCCAGTAAACATTGCAGGCTGGCGTTGACATCGAGAGTTGATTATGGTCTGGAAAAGCTAATTAATGTCTAATTCAGATAACATTTCAGGCTTAAAGAAAGACCTGCAATAGGCAGATTTAGCTCTTGGATAATGTATGTTTAAAAGAAAATGATTGTAGTTACAATTAGTTAGGTTGTTGACCGAATAACAAGCTGAAGGTGCATCGTATATGGTAATTGGGCGTTACAAATCTTCGGTACTTTAACTTTGATATCTTTAAATATAAAGGCAATGAAATGGGGCTTAACGTCCTACGTTTCTGTGCCGACTGGGCCAAGGAAGACAAAAGCAAGCCAGAGTGCTATGAGATGAGGGGAAGTTTGGTCTGGATAGTGGCGCTACGGCCGGCTCTTATATCAAATTACTAGTGGTGGGTGTTAAATATATTTCTGTGTTGAATATCTTTGTGTAACCTCAGTAATTGTTAATAATACCTCCAAACTAGAAACTCACCACAAAAGGTGGACGCTTCAGTTGAAATATGTAAATCGTGTAATTGGAGTATTATAACTACATATGACTACATAATTAAAATTTGTCGTTTTGAAATGCCTAACCTCAGCCGGGGATGTGGACCGAAAATATTTTCAGTCATAATTCCGTACTGTTTTTTTAAACTGCTGATGTTATGCGCTTGGTTGACCATGCATTGACCTCCAGTTAACGCCACAAAAATCTTCCTTTTTTTCTGCCCATACACAACTTTTTCGGTTAGGAAATGAGCGCTTTAACAAGCAATCGACCATAAAACAAAACGTCGACAAATAGCGTTTACCATTACCAAACATCATTGATATATAGAAACGGGATTTAAGGCCCACTCGATACAAACCAGGTCTTCTCGATACTAACATATGATTCAATATATTTTAATAATTTGCTTGCGCGTATGAATCTTTAGCTGTGGGAGGATTCGGAGAAACCCCACGGAGTGTCGGCTTGAAATCATTTAACCAACTCGGCATATTTGAATGAAAAGAGTATGTAGGGTATGCCAAAGTCAACATTGGCGACATAGCAGATCCCAGCTTCTCAGAGGAGAAGAATATAACCCCTTAAGAAATGGTCGTATATTAATTTCTTTTACAATACCTTTATCGTCAATGTATGTACCGCCAATAAAACTAGTTATCCCGCCATCGTCCATAGGTAAACTTCTTTTCATGTTATCTATAGTAAATTGATGCAAGAGACATATTATTAGTTTAGTGCTTTATAGCATGTAATGCTATACTACGTTTAATTATTCAAATAAGCAGCCCAGAACCAGAATTGTGAAAAGCCCTTCCACCATGGCTTTATTTAAATTTCCAGTAAATGTTTTCATTGTAAAATTGGAGGCGTAAAAGTTCTACAAAGTTAAAGTGCGCGTTCTGTTCCGGACTTTTTTTATACCATGGATTGTAACCATGAGTTTATATCATACTCGGTGATACTACCATTGTTCGCAAAGCAAAATTTTAAGAACTTTGCTTGCGACAACAACTGTTCAACAACAGCCTTGTCTGAAAAGCACTCCCACCCCTCCACCCTCATTATACAAAATGGCTTCTTGTTCGTCTGAGTATCACACGTTCAACCCCATACTCCTCGCAGTGTTTCATTTGATTCGACCTAATCCCACTCAACACTGCCGTAATGTAATCAAATTTATGTTCCAAATTATGACTGATCAATAGTCCGATTAGCAACCAATACCTAACCACATATCAATTTCATTCGGGTTTAAACAGAGGCTAGAGCTCCAAATACGTTTACATAAAGTTACTCACGAAATTTATTACTCCCAATTAACCAGCGCATAGCAGAATATTGCAGAAAAACTAACTGCGTGACAAACGAGGCTATCAAAACGGCTACAATGTAAACAATACTGTTTGGAGACGAACGATACTTTCCCCGTTTTTTAATACCTGGGAAGACCCCAGATTAAACGAAGGTATGTGATGTTGCTGTACTTAGGAGAAATTTGATTGAACAGGAAGAATAGACACCTCAAGTATCAGAAGTCAATCCAGCAATGGTCAGAGATTGTTTCTGAAATAATTGAACATACGCCCATAGCAGTTAAGTCGCAAGAACAGCCCAGAAAGGTTTATTGTCCACAAAAGTTTTCAAATTGATTAAGGGTGATAAGTCTCACGGTGATTATCTGAAATGGTTTAAAATGAATAGGACTGTTTGTCTCTTGAGCATAAAAACCGAGTATAGATTTAAAGACAATGATAGAGCGTCAACAAGCAATTATGCATGACGAACCGACGGGGTAGTTCTTTTCCATGCAGTGAGTCGGTAACGATAAATCATGAGAATAAAAAGGTGGTTCGCCCGACAATTGCTGGACTAACTATTCTGTTGTGCCTCCAGGGGAATTGCATTTTATAATTCAAGTTTAGATACGACTGGACAGCATTAATTACAAACTAGATGGGAAATGCATTATGTTGTCAGTTTTGCGAATAAAGAAAAGGGCTAAAGCTGACAAAACTCCAATTAATAATGCTAACTCAAGTTTCTCAAATGAGATTTTACCGTATCGCAATAACGTGGTCGTGTTTTAGCCAGAAAAATATACTTGGGCTTTTTCGTTATTGAGTTCTTCTGAACCGCAGAATATTTACACGAAGAGTAAATTTTAATCACGTCATGACCAAGGAGGGCAAACCCTTCAGATAGCGACATCTTTTAAATCGAAAACAATGTAACTATAAAAAGAAGCCTATCAAATTTCAATTCTACGTTGTAAGATTTCCAGGGAAGTGCGTTATTTATTGTCTTCAGGAGGATGTCTCTATCCACTGAAACCACCTTACGCGGGTTGTCAGTTACTTAAGACAGATGTCCAGATCTTTTCTAAAGAATCGGTAAAAAAAACATTTTTTTTAGGTATTTTATTATATCATCCAAATATCGAAGAGCATTATCTCATATAAAACCTGTCATATTTTTTTGTAACAGTTTTTATTTTTGCTTTTAAACAGATTTTGAAGAGAAATCATTAGCGTATTGACATATCGATTCTTTGTAATAAATTTCTTGTTCAAGTTCTAAAAATTCTTCTACAATTTATTGACTAAAAAAGGGGCCGTGTGATTTTGTTACAAGGTCTTGATGATAATTTCGACTCCATTTCTAATATTTCACACTAATGTGTCAGATTTTATACATGGTGATCTCATACTCGGTTTTTCTGATATCAAATAGCATGGGTATTGTATCAACCCGTGGGCATTAAGTGACGGTAAATCAAATGACTTCACGCTAAAATACATTCAAGAGATCATTATGTTCGCATGATTCGTTTTATCAAAGAATCACCCTGTGTTTAATGATTTCTTCTTCTCGCTTCTTCACAATCGATTTACGTTCAACACAATGGGTGATTCCTAACGCTTACAAATAAAACTCGAGAAAAAAGATGACCATAGCTTGGGGGTAACTATTATTATGTAAATATTGTTAATCGCCGTGGATAAACGGCGATCCCGTGGGTGTTCAATACAATTGATGGGTAGTCGTATTGGACATTGAAATGAAATGAGGTTTAACATCGTACTTTTCTATATGAGTGACATTTTACTTGGACAGTGGTGTTCCGCCTACCCTTAGTTGAATTCCAACCGCCAGAGCCACTTTTTTACCTGTTCCATATCAACTACTAGACACTATTCATTGCAAGGTGGGGCGTTTTCAGCCACAACAGGGATGGAACCCGAGACCTGGTTAGTCAGCCACCGTGGTTCAACTTTATGGATACAATGCGAACCTTCAGAAATGGAGAGATGGGAACTAAAGAAATGCGTGTGTGTGAGTGTTGGAGAATATCCACAAGCTTAGTCAGAAGCATTTAAATAGCTTTGGCAGCAGTTGGGTTCAATTGAATATGTGCCTAAACGAGTGGAGAAGAAATCGAGTATATGTGTACCCATTGGCCGCGGTAATCTATAAAAATGTATATGAAAATGTGACTCTCATAAAAAAGAATTCTTCTCCCAGTATCTATGTCCAGGAGAGAGGAAAACTGTTAGACGTGCAACGATGTCTTTCGGTGGACAAAACATAAATACGGTGAACGCTTCTAGAATTTAACAAAGTTTGATATACGCTCGTATGTATAATCAATTATCTGTTTACATAGCCAAATTTGAATTTACGGGAATTTAGTACCCCTGCATATCAGATGATGGTTTAACTGTAGGTATACATATAAAGATGGCATCAAAATGTTTAACTGGCCAGTGTACTTATTTGTTTGTTTTTTTAAATTATATATTTTATTATGCATTTAATAATAATTTGTCAGTACATAATTTAAGAATTATTTATCTAACAAGCAAAGATTATTAATAGACATTTATAAAGCAGTATAGAAGCTGTATGGCACCATTATCGCCAGAAAGTTCCAAATCACTTTACTTATCGACACCGTTGCCTTTAAGACACAGTTGCTTTCTGCACCATTAACTGTTATTAGCAAGTCATATATCATATGTATACCATGAGAACTTAATAAGTGTAATGACTCGAGCGTATATAACCTCAACGAAGTCTTCATAAATCATCTGAACAGCTTCGTATCTATAGAATTATCAAGGTCACACATTTGTGGCGTATGAATTCCCATTAGTGATCTTTTTGGTCTTCGAGACAGTTTGATAATCCGAAAGTCCAGAGTCTTTTGTGGGGCGTTTACAACATTTCTTAATTCCCAATATCAATTTGGTTTCTTCACGGAAATGTTTTCCAGTAATATAATAGATAAAAAAATAACAGGCTGAATTTGACAATGTGATCTCCTCTACTATTTTACGAACAATGTAATACGTAAAATAGCCTTTCCATGTTGAATCAGCAGCAATTTGGTCGTCTGTTAAATATTCGCCGCCGATATGAATAGCTTGTTGAAGCGAATACACTACTGTAGCAGGCAACCACGTACAAATCAAGTAAAACGAAACGCAAAGAAGTGTTATGGTGGATGCCGCCTGGCCGCCACCGGATGACATGTAAGCCGGGCCACCAGCCGTCAGAGAACGAATTTCCATAATAACTAACACATTGAACACTAAAGCTGCTAAAGGAAGAATGCCGAATATTAGAAGTTCACTGATCCAGGTCCATATGGATAGAATGCTAGCTTGTGCACCTTCTACAGCTTCGGGTCGATGGTTGCAGTCCTGTTTTCGCGGATCGTAGGTCCAGAAGTACGCCTGGACGATACACAGTAGCACCGAAAGCACAGATAATCCAACGATGACCATAATTGCTCTGTGTACAGTACAATACTTCTCTTTGCTGAAGGGAAAGCATATAGCAATATATCGTTCAACGGTAAAACCCAAGACTAAGAGAGGCGCTAAATATTGGGGTATATAATAAACTACATTGAATATTTCACACGATATGTAGTCATTATAAGATTTTACACCCCATGCATAGTTTAATTCCACGAAAATATGAAGTATGAGGAAAGTAAAATGAGATATTGATAAGGTTCCAAGGTATATGGCACTTGAATTGTTCTTTCTTGTATTTCGGTTCAACCAGATATAAGCTGACAGTGGATTGGTTAAAATTCCAATAAAATAAAGAATAGGAGTAACAGATTGGTCAATAGCAGCAGCGGTTGGTGCAAATTTTTCGTGCAGTTGAGCTATACTGTAGCGGAAGAATATGGATAAGTTAGCGTTATTCGATATATTGGCCTCCATCTTTCTGAAAAGCATAAAACAAAATAACCGACTATTATTGAAAATATATTCATTAAAAATGCATTAGACATTAGCTAAATCTTTCTTTTAGCCCCAAAGTTTATATAAATTACTAATTAGACATATATTCACACGTCAAACCCATAATCAACTCTCTAGACTATCGGATGGTTGCTATTTTGAACGGATTGAAACACGATCGCCATTTAATAACTTAATTTTAAAAAAAAGAAGATAATCGAGACTTTGTTTATTAACGTAACACCGGTAGCAATGAAAGTCGAGAGTACGATATTCTTCAAACAATCATAACTTCGCTCAGAATGACGTAATTTGACTGACATTCATTATCTATATTTAAACTATTATAGCGAGAACTGTCAGCTCTATATCCAAATCTTACATAATGCATCTTTTAAGAGTGATTTTTAACCAATAGTTCTTAACATAGTATATGAATTTCAAACTTCCAAGCCCTACTCTTATACAAAGCCTTAAGGAAAGAATTAACGCTTATTAAGAAATATAATAATACAGTTTCTGCTGTGAAAAAGTTACACACGATTTCTCAAATATAAGGGTTTTGGCTCATCGGGCTATGTCTGCCGAGGTAATATCACGTCATAACATTCCTCTGAGAAAAGTCAACCCACACAAATGTTAGCTTTTGGTTGGATCTTGAATGACAAGTTGTAGCATTCTTTAATCAAAATTACTCGGTATTATTATGATTTTATGGTCTCCATACTGAAGTCATTATCCACTAGAACAAAGCAATCTCGTATAATTTAAAAACATAATTATTAAAATATTTAGGTGTAAAACATCTATCAGAAATATGCATGTGATATTATTATGATTTTATGAAAAAGACATCTGTTTTACTTTAGTTGTTTTATCCAAATTTATATAATAGAATAATAATCTTTCGGGTGTATTACAGGACAAGTTATACTGGAATCTGACCGTAGCAGCCAATATCCGGTCCCAGGCAGAATTTGTGGGAGAGACGGAAATTAAGAGATAAATTTATATCCCCTTGTATATTCTTTCGTCTAGAAAGATTATATTTCAACATAAAATATTCTTCGACGTTGCGACTTGTACGGGATTTGTATGTACTTTCAAATAATATATCAAATGAAATGGGGTTTAACGTCCTACCAACGAAAATAATAAACACAACAATGTTTTCTCGGTAAATTAATGAAAAGTCTATTTATTTCACAAATCTAACCAAAATTTCCGGGGCTTTCCCCAAGTCAGACCACACCCAATATCTCCTCACGGGGCTAATAATATGGTCATCACTTACATGGCTGAAACTTAACAGAAACAAAGATCCATACATGGAAAATATAATTTTCAAATATCTAACCAAACGTTTGGGGGTTTTCCCTAAGTCAGATTGCTCAACAGTCTGTCCGAATACGCCCGAAAACTTGGGCTAATAATATGGTCATTAGTTACATGGATGATACTTAGCAGAAACAAAGATCTATACATGGCCCCACCCCATTCCCTTTATATAGGCTTATAATAATGTTATACCAATGATACCTTTTTGAACCGCAGCAGGATTCAATATTCTAACACAAAGTAGAACAAATGTTTGTTAGCTATATGAAACCCTCAAATGAGAAACTGTATCTTGTGTTGTAAAAAAAGAGTAAGCATACCATACCCAATTCACGGCAAACTGCATTAATTATAGCTAAATGATTAGATAGTTAGGATTAGTATTGAATTTATGCCTTCAAACGTTCTGTTTTCCCTTTGTGGCACACCACAATCCCCATTCAACAACCGTTCAGAATGTTATTCAATATCTTACAACATTGTGTAAAATATTTAATCCAGTTATGGATACCTTTGTTTCTAGAAAGTTTCAGCCATGCAACTTATGACCTAATATTGGGCCCAATGCGGGTTACTTTTAGGTGTTGCTGTGGCGATATGTTCCAGCAGTGTGCAATCTGACAAAATGATTTTTACTTGTATGGACACCCACTACAAATTGGGGGGGGGGGGGTCAAACCTATTGTAACTGGTGACCATATTATTTTGTCATTAACTCCTGGACCATAATGATCGAATAGATGAAGGAGAATAATGGTGGTTGGTCGAATTTTCACTCCAACTTAATCAAATATACTATATTTGACGTCAAACACTTGAGATCAATGTTTTTAAACGTTCCACTTTTCTGCTCCATCCGGGTCATACTAATAAAGACGGATTGACGTTAAACAAATCTTGGACACATATCTGTCTTCTGTTTTCTCAATACCAAATTAACCGAATAATCAAATTAGACCGACTGTTCTAAAAGAATATTAGTAAACCTGTTAAGTCATTAAATGGTCTACTACACTTCACTGACTAATCCAAGTCATAGTTAATCAGTTGGTAAGCATCGTTACTTACTTTGCACTTAGCTGAATGAGAATTGTATTAAAACTATTTCATCAAAGCTTTTAGAAAGTCAGACGAAAGGCATATAAAATTTACAGATTAAGGAGAAAAACATACGCAAGTATCGTAATATTTTAGCGTTGAACAAAGTTGAATACTACGAATTATCCTTCGTGTATCGGCGCAATCACGTGGGTGTATCAGAAAACAATCTTATTTATCTAAAATCTAAAAGAATAGTTTGATTAAAATATTAGAATATCTCGAACAGATTATGGAATAAGTATTACACGTCAGTTCAACAAAGTGTGATATAATATAAAAACGGTAATTGAAAATTTGAATATATTTGACCTTACACGCATACACCGACTTTTCGGACCAACGCATGGTTAGATAGATAGTCCTGAAACAATGACCGCCAGTACAGTAGAGTCACCGGAATAAATGTTAGGTTTAGACTGTTTATTATTTACGATAATCCCTTATGAAGTTGAAGTTGTCGGAGTATGGCTGTCTAAAGTGTAAACAGACACACTAGACCAACGTTTTCCCAGATCAAGTAGTTAACTTGTCTTAGATATACAACTTTGAGATAAGCCAAGTGACTCCCACTTACCTATAGCAACGTCTGGGGTCAAGATGTTTCGGAAACAACTTTATAGAAGGAACCATCCCATTTGTTCCTACCCAAAATACAGCAAACATTATATTATCTATGTCAACATTCCAATTAAATAAGAAATAACATTAAATGTTCTGAAAATTCAATATCTTGAAACAGAGAAGGAAAGAAGACATACCCTACAGAATAATCACAAAGCGAAGAATCGCTGTTTACTAAAAAAATGTTTAAAGTGTATGGTGTTACATATAATAATTCACACCAAGCTAAAAATAAGCCCACATGTCAAACCACATGATGCTTTTCAGAAAAAGTAAACGCCATTACTGTCCAATCGCATCACGATATCTGTCAATTACAGAAACATATTATTATGTCATTATTTCGACACATAACCAATTATTTCATAATAAATGACACCTTGACAAAATTCATCTTCATTTTAGGAGTATCAATGAATCCAATAATAAAAACCGCTCCAATTATTTGCTATTTGAATGAGATTTCGCTTCCGTCTAGATGGTAAAAATGTTTCGTCTTTGCTCGTAGGCATTATTGCCATCCGGTTTAGGATTTCAGTTCATCTATTTGATACTATAAAATTAGCTAAATAACTTGTAACAGAACGCCCACTTCTACTTAAACAAGGCTTTTATAATGTTGGACCTATATATGTAAGCCATTTGTGTAGTGGAACTTAAATGAAACACGAAATACGTTATATTCAATTTGTAAAAGTTAAACGATCTGGAATAAAAACACATGAGAAGTAGTATCGGGATTTTTTTAGACAGAGTTCAAAGCCCGCATTCATTATCAGTACTTAAAAGAGAATATTTAACATTTTAAATTTCTACATTAAAAGCCGATAGATGAAGATAGCGACGCAATGCGTTGAAATGAAATGGGGTTTAACGTCCTACTGTTTTGCTCCGAACTGGGCTAATGAAGACGGGCATATGCCATACAGTGGGCTATGAGGGAAATTTTGCCCGGACAGGGGCACTACGGCCTACTCTTATATCGAATTCCAACTGTCAAGGGATCTTTTACGTGCACGCCAATGTGTACACGGGACCTCGGTTTTTAGTCCCACCCGAACGACTAGACAGCTGTCCTTGTCAGGCCCTCCGTCCTGCACGCATCACTGACAAGGGAAAACCACGCCGGAAAGTCTAGATGAACTTTCTCGGTCAATGCAGGGATCGAACACCCGAACTCCAGGCTAGCGTCTTACCCACTTAGGCCTACGCAACAGTCATATCTCGAAACAAAAATGCCACAAACAGCAGTTTATCCCAAAGGAAAACTTGGATGTTGACACAATTTAATATGGAGCCGGTATGCCTTTAAGAAATCTGATGAATATCGTGTTCACAAACTGTTCCGGGAACGTAATATTATATACTATTAAAAAAAAGTAGGGGATATTTGATTTTGGGGGCATAATACTAAAATATGCAAATGACTACGAAAAAGGTCACTATAGAACCTAACAGAAGAAACATTTCCAGTTACATGTGACGCCCAAACGCACCAATAGCTACCGCATGGAATGCATGTGGTGCTTGGGATCATCATGGGGGTCCAACCCAAGATTTGCACGACTCTGACTTTGAATGTTACAGTCATTGTGGCATTGAATTCCAGGGTGGAAACATCAGTTTAATTGTTTTAGTGACCAGAAAACAAATTTTGATATGCGTCGGCTTACCCAAAATGAAAGGTTACGTGCCCTTGGCATGCTACAGATCGGCACAACACAGGCGGTTGTGGCGCGGACGATGAATGTTTCTCAGTCTGTCATAAGCAGGCTATGGTCCAGATACCGTGATACACAATCTGTACAGGACAGACCACGCTCAGGTCGACCAAGGGCGACAACTCAAGCCCAGGATCGATTTTTCCGTACCTTGGCCTTGAGAAATCGTGTCATCACAGCAAATCAGATCAGCGCTCGTCTT